TTTAAAGGCCACATTTTTTTACATAAGCTGCAAAATATTATAATCAACCAACTCACAAAATTTTAATAATTTTAATTTACAAAATAATATATTTGAAGGGTGACTGTAATGTTTTCTGGTGATAATCCTTTCTGCTCTTTTCTGTAAAATAAAAATAGGATTTGTGATTGTTTTGCATGCTTTACCCCAGACTTCAACACAGTATACCAAGTATGGAACAATTATTGTATTATACAATATAAACAGAGCTTTATCATTGAAAAACTCCCTTACTTTATATACTACTCCAACAGATTTAGCTATTTTTGTTCTTAAGTAATTCACATGAGCTCTCCATTTCAGCCCTTAAATCAATGATAATGCCCAAAAACTTTATCTCACTGACTCTACTAATCTCAGCACCATCAACTTTAAATGGAAAATCAATAGTTTTCTTTTTGTTACTGAATATCATGTAATTAGTTTTATCCAGGTTTAGCAACAATTTGTTAAGTTTGAAACCATGTTTGTATTTTTACAAATTCTGTTTGTGTCCTTTCCAACATCAGTTCAATATCCATACCCAAACAAAAAAAAGTAGTATCATTAGCAAACAGAATACATTTAAACAACCCTGATACATTTACCAAATCATTTACATACAAAATAAACAGCTTTGGTCCAAGCATAGAACCCTGAGGAACTCCACATGTGATATTATGAGTTTAAGTCTCTGTTAAAAACTCATCTGTTTAAACAGGCATTTGAGTCTGAAGAGCAGGATCACTAGACCAGCCTTTGCTGTTTTGTTTGATTTTATTGTTCATTTTATTACTGTACTTTGTTCATTGTTTTTATTTTATGCTCCTGTACAGCACTTTGGCTTTTATTGTGCTTTATAAATAAACGATGATGATGATGATGATGATGATGATGATGATGATGATGATGATATTACTGAGTTCCGATCTTATGTCATTTATTAGAACAAACTGTTTCCTATTTTTCAAATAACTAGTTACCCACTGCAGTGCTGATCCTCTAATACCATATTTATTTAGCTTTTCAAGAAGAATTAGTGATCAGTTGTGTCAAAAGCTTTCTTTAAATCAACAAAAACACTAACACAGTACTGTTTTTGATCAACAGCAGTTGTTATCTGTTCAATCAATTCCATGAGAGCCATTAATGTTGAATTGTTAGCTCTAAAACCATACTGACTATTAAAAATATTTTGTTTATTAATAAATTTGTCTAATCTGTTAACAAATAATTTCTCTAAAATCTTTGAAAACTGAGGTAACAAGGATATTGGTCTGTGATTGTTGAATTTCTCACCATTCTTGAAAAGAGGGATTACTTTAGATAAATTACATTTATATGTAAACAGTTCAGTCACATAATTATGACCCCACATTTGAAGCGTAAGCGGGAGTCATATTGTTTTTGCACTGTTTATTTTATTTTATTTTTGTTTTCTTCAGTGATTTTTGGTCAACCGTAGCACAGAAACGGCTGCACCAATCAACATGAGATTTGACAGGACTGTAGATGAGTCTGACCTACACTGCACCAGCCAACAGTTTTATGATAGACCCCATATTTGAGGAGGGGGCTCCTTTCAAAGTGGGGGTGTCAGGACATGCAAAAATGATTATAACTCAGAAACTGTTCAACATTAAAGCTTCAGATTTCTTTTGTTGTTTAGCTCTGATGAAGCTCTAGCAGGCCCACTAATTAGTGTCC